ATATATATATATATATTTACACACACATTCTTGACTAGCTGGTTTATAAAGTAATTGTGCTACATGGATTTGTGAATATTTTCTGGATAATTGTAAATGAACGTAACTGCTTGCCATGTTTCCATAACACAGCAATGTAAACAAAATTTCTACGAAGGCCACTAAAATCAGTCCAAACAGTATAATAACTGATAACTAAATAAGCGAGCATTTGATCAACATATATATATGAGAATGAGACATATACATAATTGTTAACGCTTCTATATTTGTAAAATTATATGAAAAGGCATATTTTTCCAAGCTTTTTATCATAATACTTCTTCCTTTACCTCTCTTTTGGTATATTTGGTCGCTCTCGTATCTTGCAGTCCTTCTGTTAATCGCCTTTCTAATAAATTCTGTGTCTGAAAAACCCACCAAAAAGTCATTTTCTTTTATAACCTTACAAATTAGGATTATAGCTCTTCATAATCATAGATGGTTCGGAAATTTCCACAGTGGTTAAACTAGAAATGATGATAATCCCTCCAATAATTTTCTAACAATCTAGAATAATATCCTAATCCTTTAATGCCCTAATATGATAATTAATAGCGTATAATCTCATAATCCCTTAATAATTGGGCCTGGCATGGCTAGGTGGTTAGGGTGCTCGACTCGCAATCTGAAGGCATGCTCTCCCTCTCAGCATTATAATGGGGGCATTATAATGTGACGGTCAATACCACTATTCGTTGGTAAAAGAGTAGCCTAAGAGTTGCCGGTGGGTGATGATGATTAGCTGCCTTCCCTCTATTCTATCACTGTTGAATTAGAGACGGCTAGTGTAGATAGCCCTTAATAACTGACCAAAAGCTGGCCATCTTTTCACCTTTTTCAATCCCAACTAATGTTTTTCACACATAGGTTCTTAAGAAAGGGGTAAATTTTTGGACTGGAATTGTTCACAGTTTTATGTATATAGAATACAAGTTGGCTTACATGATAGTGCTCCAATTTGGTGTCATGTACTCATTCGGCTTAGTTTATAGATTAAGAAAAATACTTCGAGAAAGCTTTATTTTGTATTTTTTCAATTTGTAACCTTAATATATTTTTCTATTTAAATATAGTAATATTTTCATATAAAATATGTAGAGTTTAATAACTTGTGGGTAAATTCAAGCACAATATGGCTAAGAATGTAAGCAGTCCTTTTCAGGACTACATAGACGGTAAATTAAACTAGTATATGAATAATAATGTTAGTCATGAAGCGTACTATTGCAAATATTCAAACTGTAATAAATTAAAAATAAGGTATTGATTTTACATACTCAAGCTTATTATATCA